TCCTACATTCCCTCCATCCCGCCATCCCACCATCCCGCCATCAACTTTACAAAACTACCAGAATCGCCACCACCAACAATATTATTCTTTTATTTTATAATCACTGAAAAATAAAAATCGAAATAATGGCCATATAATAAAACCTCAACACTCGGAAGTCATATACAATATTTCTCTATACCTGAAGTGTTATATGCCACCATTCTCAGAGCTGACCTTCAACTCTCCAAGTCATATAGTATTCATACCACCATAATTCCGACACCTTCTTCGATCCTAATGATGCCATTCAATTCCATCCCATCCCATCTAATTCCATCCCATCGGACATAATTTTCAAAGCTCACGCTTTTCAGTATACTTTTACGCGACTGGGTCTAGACCAAGCGGACGCCACCTAACAAAAAGTCTCGCGATGTTAATCTCTCGTCATTAGCATGCGCCATGAATGTCAAAACTTTGTCACACTGACTACTCACACGGACCACCCACACGGACCACCCACACGGACCACCCACACGGACCACCCACTCACACCGCCCACTTCTCGCCCATATAAAAAATACACTACTATTAAAACTTGATATTTTTAAATAAAAAATAAACTCATATTATTGTTCTCACGCATTGTTTTATTCAGTTTTCTTCTAATAATAAAGTGTTTCTCTCAATCATTTGTAAAGCAGACATTGTATTTATGGGCAGACAAAAATGGTTTAAAAAAAAATTTTATTAATATTCAAATATATCGTCAGAATCTTAGTTCACCACCTATAAAGGCGGATCCATCCTCCACAGGGCGTAGACCTGTCCTGACTTCGTGGAAGAGAACGGAGTGGGGAGGAGATCGGGAACGCTGGGGTGTGAGGCTAGCTATGGGCTTAAAAAATAAAAGGTGAACAGGGAACGAAACTATCAATCTAAGCTAAGCTAAAGGGATAAACGAAAGCTATATCTAAAGACTACCCACTACGTAAACTAACTAGAGAGGGGAAACTAAACTACCCCACACCCACCACACCCACCACACCCACCACACCCCCCCATCCACACCACACCAACACCCATCCATCCGACACGCCGCTGATTCACATAGAAAAAAGGTCAAGATTAGTATATCTATAGACTATACTACTCCCTCAACACAAATGAAAAGGAAATAATAGACTTACCATGCACAAGAGGAAAACAGAGATGGTCTGGCTGGCACTCTTACTAAATAACTGTGAAAAAATTTTATGCTTTCGTCATTAGATGATGACATAGCAGCATGCATAGAAAATTGTAGATCAATGGATTGATTGCTCTGATTAGAAGCAATATAAAGACTTTCATTTTAAAAACCCGAATTTCTTATATGGCTACCCATTTTCGTGAATTGATTTTATATAAAAATTTACTTGACACATATGTTATATATTAATATATTATTTCTTAAAAGAAAGGTTGTAAAACTGTACCACTTTAGTTGGAATATGAAAGAGAAAGTGGTCTATATATATATATATGTATAGACTATAAGAGCATATCAAGAGACTCTTTATATTATCCCAGCTTTTTATTAAAGCAAGTCTCATAAATTAAAAATATTATTGACATGTTTAAAATGCAATTAGTTTTTTTTTTATTTACCGAATTGCTATAGTCGATAAGAGCAGATATCTAGTCTTAGATTATATATATAAATGTATTACAAGAGAACTAAAAGTTTTCACAACTGGGCATAGTAATATATAATATTGAGAGTATCGGGTTTTTATATTAGATAATAAGCAAATATAATAACAAGAATGTTTTAATAAAACATATAAGAATAAAAGGAATCTATACTTTATATAAAGGTTTTGATATGGAATATATATCATAGAATTAACTTTTAGTTATATAATTAAATGTTATGAAAGAAAGAAAGCGCATATAGAAAAAAAAATTATTCTGAACACTCTAATAAACTGACATCATGTTCATCGCACTGCTTGAGATCTTTATTAGAAATAGATCCACTAAGAAAAAATTGGCAATTCAACTAGTGATTATAAAGAATGCTTATAATAGCTTTTAAAATCACTCTCTGAATCGCTCCTTTTTTGTAGTGATATAATATCTTACTGAAAATTATATAAACTAAATAGGAATTAATTTAATATGTTCTTATAACAGTTTGATCCACGAAATAGCTCGATGGATCATTAACTATCGCATTGTTTTTTTCTTTTTATTAATATATTAAATGTGTGACAGATACTATATATATGTCTTTTCTTTAATCCACCACACACACATACGCACACTCACCCAATTGTCTACTAATATATTGGCTGAACTGGTACAAAATATACTTGAGTGTCTGTTTCTTTTATATTTTCTTACAAACTAAGGATTATAATCCATAATTCGGACAGAATGCACTTTTTTGTAAACTGTTATTACCAATTGGTTGCGCAGGCGGTTTTTGTGTATCAATAAGCTAAAATAACATAGCAGAATCAATTGACAGGGATACTGTTCCCCATACATAGACTTAAAAACCGCTTAGTTCTCACTTACAATCGCTCAGACAGGATGATATATTAAAGTGGCCTTCACTGCGCCATAATCATAACAAAAAAAAAACTTTTTTTTACAGTGGCTTGCATCCTCCTTCTACATTCCCCCATCCATCCATCCCGTCATCCTTTTTGAGAATATTCATTCCTTTTGGGAATTGTCATTCATATAATATTACATCTCATAGTAGACAGAAGTCGGCCCAGTATAAAAATAAAACATATATATGATTAATAAGAATTACAATTTCAGTTAACCAATAAAAGCCGAATATGTTGTATCAGCAATATGGTCCTGTCCGGATCGGCCGCCTATTGAGCTCGATCTGGACTGAAGGGATATTTCTGACAATCTTGGGCCGTCGGAATCCAGAAGATAATAATATCGTAAAAACATATATGCTAGTAATAATAGTTTTGCTTTCTTATAAATATATAGCTTGTATCATACCTCTCTCAAATAATTCCAAAATTGTTCATATATCCTGTCTCCTCAAGATTCTAATTAAAATTAGATTGGGTTTAATCTATAGATAATAATACAAGATATATTGGAATATACTTCTATAGCCGATTTTTATTCCACGGTATATATTTACAAATCATTCACAATCGCATTGTTATTTATATTTTTGTTAATACTTATAATGTATGATAGAAGCTATATATAATAATATAATTTAAACTATGTTTTCTAGTATGTTTCATAAATAACACACTATCCAGATCCATACACATTCTTCTATAATTATACTTAATGAAATTGGATCAAAAAGCATCAAACATTTTACACCAAAAAAGCAAGAGCCTACAGAAAAATATTACCGAGTCAAAATGAAAAGGGTGATATTCATAAACCAAAAGTAACTTTCGAACTAAATATATATAAACTGTTATCATGTTTTGGATACATTATCTTATATATGTTATTATTATTATTCAACACACTGGCACACACCAGAAGCTACTCCCGAACTATATACATATACGAGCCTCTATCATATTTTGGATATACTATCTTGTATATTTTATTATTATTATTCAACACACGGACACACACCAAAAGCTACTCCCGAAATATATATATATACGAGCTTCTATCATATTTTGGATACATTATCATATATATTTATTTTCCTTTTATTCAATATACGGTTACACACCAGAAGCTACTCCCAAACTATATATATATATAACTTGCTATCATATTTTGGGCTTACTATCATATATTTTTCTTTTCTTTTATCCAACACACGCACATACGCACATATGCACATACGCACACTCGCACACTCGCCCAATTGTCTACCAATACAATTGCTGCACTGATACAAAATATATATATTGTCTATTTCTTTTTGTGTCTTTTTACAACCTAAGGATTCTACTCGATAATTCGGACAGAATGCACTTTTTTGTAAATTGGTATTACCAATTGGTTGCGCAGACAGCTTTGTGTATCCCTAAGCTAAAGGAACATAGCAGGATCCATTGACAGGGATACTGTTACCCATACATAGGTTGAAAGACCGTCTAGTGGTTACTTACAATCGCCCAGAGAGGACGGTATATTAAAGTGGCCTTCACTGCGCCGTAACAAAAATAAAATAAAAATTCTATTTAACAATGGCGTGAATCCTCTTCCTACATTCCCTCCATCCCGCCATCCCACCATCCCGCCATCAACTTTACAAAACTACCAGAATCGCCACCACCAACAATATTATTGTTTTATTTTATAATCACTGAAAAATAAAAATCGAAATAATGGCCATATAATAAAACCTCAACACTCGCAAGTCATATACAATATTTCTCTATACCTGAAGTGTTATATGCCACCATTCTCAGAGCTGACCTTCAACTCTCCAAGTCATATAGTATTCATACCACCATAATTCCGACACCTTCTTCGATCCCAATGACGCCATTCAATTCCATCCCATCCCATCTAATTCCATCCCATCGGACATAATTTTCAAAGCTCACGCCTTTCAGTATACTTTTACGCGACTGGGTCTAGACCAAGCGGACGCCACCTAACAAAAAGTCTCGCGATGTTAATCTCTCGTCATTAGCATGCGCCATGAATGTCAAAACTTTGTCACACTGACTACTCACACGGACCACCCACACGGACCACCCACACGGACCACCCACACGGACCACCCACTCACACCGCCCACTTCTCGCCCATATAAAAAATACACTACTATTAAAACTTGATATTTTTAAATAAAAAATAAACTCATATTATTGTTCTCACGCATTGTTTTATTCAGTTTTCTTCTAATAATAAAGTGTTTCTCTCAATCATTTGTAAAGCAGACATTGTAATTATGGGCAGACAAAAATGGTTTAAAAAAAAATTTTATTAATATTCAAATATATCGTCAGAATCTTAGTTCACCACCTATAAAGGCGGATCCATCCTCCACAGGGCGTAGACCTGTCCTGACTTCGTGGAAGAGAACGGAGTGGGGAGGAGATCGGGAACGCTGGGGTGTGAGGCTAGCTATGGGCTTAAAAAATAAAAGGTGAACAGGGAACGAAACTATCAATCTAAGCTAAGCTAAAGGGATAAACGAAAGCTATATCTAAAGACTACCCACTACGTAAACTAACTAGAGAGGGGAAACTAAACTACCCCACACCCACCACACCCACCACACCCACCACACCCCCCCCATCCACACCACACCAACACCCATCCATCCGACACGCCGCTGATTCACATAGAAAAAAGGTCAAGATTAGTATATCTATAGACTATACTACTCCCTCAACACAAATGAAAAGGAAATAATAGACTTACCATGCACAAGAGGAAAACAGAGATGGTCTGGCTGGCACTCTTACTAAATAACTGTGAAAAAATTTTATGCTTTCGTCATTAGATGATGACATAGCAGCATGCATAGAAAATTGTAGATCAATGGATTGATTGCTCTGATTAGAAGCAATATAAAGACTTTCATTTTAAAAACCCGAATTTCTTATATGGCTACCCATTTTCGTGAATTGATTTTATATAAAAATTTACTTGACACATATGTTATATATTAATATATTATTTCTTAAAAGAAAGGTTGTAAAACTGTACCACTTTAGTTGGAATATGAAAGAGAAAGTGGTCTATATATATATATATATGTATAGACTATAAGAGCATATCAAGAGACTCTTTATATTATCCCAGCTTTTTATTAAAGCAAGTCTCATAAATTAAAAATATTATTGACATGTTTAAAATGCAATTAGTTTTTTTTTTATTTACCGAATTGCTATAGTCGATAAGAGCAGATATCTAGTCTTAGATTATATATATAAATGTATTACAAGAGAACTAAAAGTTTTCACAACTGGGCATAGTAATATATAATATTGAGAGTATCGGGTTTTTATATTAGATAATAAGCAAATATAATAACAAGAATGTTTTAATAAAACATATAAGAATAAAAGGAATCTATACTTTATATAAAGGTTTTGATATGGAATATATATCATAGAATTAACTTTTAGTTATATAATTAAATGTTATGAAAGAAAGAAAGCGCATATAGAAAAAAAAATTATTCTGAACACTCTAATAAACTGACATCATGTTCATCGCACTGCTTGAGATCTTTATTAGAAATAGATCCACTAAGAAAAAATTGGCAATTCAACTAGTGATTATAAAGAATGCTTATAATAGCTTTTAAAATCACTCTCTGAATCGCTCCTTTTTTGTAGTGATATAATATCTTACTGAAAATTATATAAACTAAATAGGAATTAATTTAATATGTTCTTATAACAGTTTGATCCACGAAATAGCTCGATGGATCATTAACTATCGCATTGTTTTTTTCTTTTTATTAATATATTAAATGTGTGACAGATACTATATATATGTCTTTTCTTTAATCCACCACACACACATACGCACACTCACCCAATTGTTTACTAATATATTGGCTGAACTGGTACAAAATATACTTGAGTGTCTGTTTCTTTTATATTTTCTTACAAACTAAGGATTATAATCCATAATTCGGACAGAATGCACTTTTTTGTAAACTGTTATTACCAATTGGTTGCGCAGGCGGTTTTTGTGTATCAATAAGCTAAAATAACATAGCAGAATCAATTGACAGGGATACTGTTCCCCATACATAGACTTAAAAACCGCTTAGTTCTCACTTACAATCGCTCAGACAGGATGATATATTAAAGTGGCCTTCACTGCGCCATAATCATAACAAAAAAAAAACTTTTTTTTACAGTGGCTTGCATCCTCCTTCTACATTCCCCCATCCATCCATCCCGTCATCCTTTTTGAGAATATTCATTCCTTTTGGGAATTGTCATTCATATAATATTACATCTCATAGTAGACAGAAGTCGGCCCAGTATAAAAATAAAACATATATATGATTAATAAGAATTACAATTTCAGTTAACCAATAAAAGCCGAATATGTTGTATCAGCAATATGGTCCTGTCCGGATCGGCCGCCTATTGAGCTCGATCTGGACTGAAGGGATATTTCTGACAATCTTGGGCCGTCGGAATCCAGAAGATAATAATATCGTAAAAACATATATGCTAGTAATAATAGTTTTGCTTTCTTATAAATATATAGCTTGTATCATACCTCTCTCAAATAATTCCAAAATTGTTCATATATCCTGTCTCCTCAAGATTCTAATTAAAATTAGATTGGGTTTAATCTATAGATAATAATACAAGATATATTGGAATATACTTCTATAGCCGATTTTTATTCCACGGTATATATTTACAAATCATTCACAATCGCATTGTTATTTATATTTTTGTTAATACTTATAATGTATGATAGAAGCTATATATAATAATATAATTTAAACTATGTTTTCTAGTATGTTTCATAAATAACACACTATCCAGATCCATACACATTCTTCTATAATTATACTTAATGAAATTGGATCAAAAAGCATCAAACATTTTACACCAAAAAAGCAAGAGCCTACAGAAAAATATTACCGAGTCAAAATGAAAAGGGTGATATTCATAAACCAAAAGTAACTTTCGAACTAAATATATATAAACTGTTATCATGTTTTGGATACATTATCTTATATATGTTATTATTATTATTCAACACACTGGCACACACCAGAAGCTACTCCCGAACTATATACATATACGAGCCTCTATCATATTTTGGATATACTATCTTGTATATTTTATTATTATTATTCAACACACGGACACACACCAAAAGCTACTCCCGAAATATATATATATACGAGCTTCTATCATATTTTGGATACATTATCATATATATTTATTTTCCTTTTATTCAATATACGGTTACACACCAGAAGCTACTCCCAAACTATATATATATATAACTTGCTATCATATTTTGGGCTTACTATCATATATTTTTCTTTTCTTTTATCCAACACACGCACATACGCACATATGCACATACGCACACTCGCACATTCGCCCAATTGTCTACCAATACAATTGCTGCACTGATACAAAATATATATATTGTCTATTTCTTTTTGTGTCTTTTTACAACCTAAGGATTCTACTCGATAATTCGGACAGAATGCACTTTTTTGTAAATTGGTATTACCAATTGGTTGCGCAGACAGCTTTGTGTATCCCTAAGCTAAAGGAACATAGCAGGATCCATTGACAGGGATACTGTTACCCATACATAGGTTGAAAGACCGTCTAGTGGTTACTTACAATCGCCCAGAGAGGACGGTATATTAAAGTGGCCTTCACTGCGCCGTAACAAAAATAAAATGAAAATTCTATTTAACAATGGCGTGAATCCTCTTCCTACATTCCCTCCATCCCGCCATCCCACCATCCCGCCATCAACTTTACAAAACTACCAGAATCGCCACCACCAACAATATTATTGTTTTATTTTATAATCACTGAAAAATAAAAATCGAAATAATGGCCATATAATAAAACCTCAACACTCGCAAGTCATATACAATATTTCTCTATACCTGAAGTGTTATATGCCACCATTCTCAGAGCTGACCTTCAACTCTCCAAGTCATATAGTATTCATACCACCATAATTCCGACACCTTCTTCGATCCCAATGACGCTCTTACTCATATTTAAAAATTTCAACAAGCAACATTTGATATATGCTACTACATAATTTGACTTAGATTCACTCGTTTAATAAAGTGCGGCTACTTCATACAAGGCTTTATGTTTTATTAAACAAAAACATCAGGCCATTTGTAGGAAAAGTATAATGTACACAAAAGAATTGTTTAGGTAACATTTATGTGTACACCGTATTTATGTGATTTGCGACCTCTATTATAATTCCCAATTTGGACTGTTAGCAGCTTCAAGTGAGTACTAACTCAGATATTACGGAAAACATTCCCGAAAATAATATATATCTGTGATGTATATGTATTCAATTATGAAACACATGGTTTATTATAAGAAAATGTCTGAGTATAGTAAAGTGGCTCAGAGTTTATAGTTTAAGTACAAACTATATTAATATATTTATATGTTTTATAAAAGAAGCTTCTTCTATTTGCTATCTACGTGTAACCTCACAATCTTTTTATTGTCTGAACTATATTTAAAGTAAGCACAGGAACTAATCGGATACATATATAATGACTATAATATATATATATATATTGAATTTTACCCGACCAAACCAGGTTCTCTTTTTATTGTATTAATCAAGGCTTTTAAACTAGTACAAGCCTTCTTTAATTATTTTTCTTTGTTTATATTATTTATTAACATTTTATTTTTATTTGCTCTATATATTTAATTTTAAAATTTGTTATCTTCGCATATCTCAAACAGTCAAATTTATATCAGCTTCTATCTGAAATATAAAAGTTTAGTAAAGCGTTATATTCACAAGTCTGAATTATTTTATTTTATGGAAAAAATATAGTCTTTTTTTTTTATCTTTGTGGCAACTTCGACAAGGATTTAAAATTTATTGATGCAAATACTCCCATAATTTATGTTAAAAAAAAACTAAATTGAACTGATGGGTGAAGTGATTTTTTTTATCTAGAGTTGTGATGTTTGATTTTAAGAAAAGATAAAATTATCGGATTGTTAGAGATGCTCTTAGAAATAATCAAACATATAGAATACAATTAAAGAAAAGCATATATTATATTACAGAACAATCTTCAATATATATATTGATTGTTTAAGTCAGAGGTATTATAAGAGTAAACTGATATAAATCGCAATTGCAATGTCTTCTTTAAACACAATAAGAATAAACAAATATCAAAGAGAATTAAAGGGAACAAAGACTCCGTGTCTATAAATAAAATAAATTTATATAAAAGCGGATTTGATTTAATCAAATCAAAGCAGATGTTTAAAAAAATTCAATAAACAAGTGAGGGATAAATTGTTTTTAATATTTAATTATATTTTTTTTTGTTTTTCTTTGGATTTTATTTTTATTATTATTACTATTGATAATATCTAATATTTAACTGATATTTAGAATGTATACTTGTTCTCAATATATTGTTAAGTGTTTTTTGTATAATAGTGTTTTTCTTTTTTTATTTTTCAATAAAACTTGATATTCCAACATCAAATAAAATTATTAAATTCTTAGTTGATAAGATTCTTAGTTTTGTTCTATTTCAGTTAAATATATTTGAAAATCTTATATAAATCGAATAAACATATATATTTTATTAAACCTAACAAGATACAGCTCTTATAATAAGGATATATTTTCTTTTTCGTCTATCTTTACAATTCTTAACCAGGGAGCATATTGTTCAATTTGACATTTCATATTAAATCCGTGTCTGATAAAATAGGGTGTTTCAAGTTTAAAGATTTTGAAGAATTCAAGGTTTTTATTTTCTATCCATACTCTATTAATTAGCTGATAACATATAATATAAAAATATATTACTGAACTTCCCTACGTAAAGTCCTGTAAAAAATAATCAACTTCTAAAAATCTAAAAGAAACCTTTTGAAGCTTTTTGATTTACATATTTTTTACATATACTTTACTAGTTTCGGAATCCTTTTTGAAGCTGACTTACCTTTTACACTCGCCGATGGAAATATTTCAATTTAAAACACCCTAATGGTATCTATTCTGTCTTTTAATACTACTCGAATGGAGACTGAAAACAACACTTTCCCACTGCAGGAGTAAGTAGCGGATTTCAATTTTCAAGCTAATTCATACTCCGAATATTCGATTTATTTAAAAGCCCGCAGCGCCTCTTATCCCACTCGTTTTTTATTGTCTCTAGCTCTTTAATGCACTTGTTTTCAGCAAAAACTAATCACTGGAACGCAAGATAATTAAACATTTGGTTGAATTACATAAAGTACAAAGATATAAATTTGTGTTAATTTAAACTGAGGTTATAATTTATTTGTTTTTTGGCCTTTGTGGTACAGTGATTCAACTTTAATAAAATAATACATATGCACTGAGTTATATTCAAGGTGCTGTAATAGTAAGTATATTAAAATCTGGAGTTTTGATTAGAACACATTGAAAAAACACATACAAATACACTTGTGTCAAAATTAACTGGTGATTGCATATACACCCACTGATTTATTTTTTATTTTTAATAATTCTATTGGGTTAGAGAGTGCATCTTTAGTTTTTATATGTTTAAATTCAAAAGTAGCTTCACGAAAAAACTAGAATTATAGCAAAAAAGGAATAACTATATTTTTTCAGAAAATAATTTTATTTTCAGATAATACGCACTTTCTGGAAATTATTGGTATAAAAACAAAAAACGATTTGATGCAAAAATGGAATGCACGAAATGTGTGGTATACACACTACAATTGAGTGAAATACAAACTCCACAATCCAGAATGGATACTACAATTGCTAATGAACCTGGCAGGGTCACATCTCAGGAACGTAACACATATCAGGCACTCGTACACTTCACACTGCTTCAGTGATAACCAACCATTAACCGATAGAGATCTTAAATTAGGGAACCTGATATCTATATAAACAGTTATGATCTTCTTTATTAAATAAACAACATTCTCACAGTGCTTATTGTTCCCTTTTAAAATCCTATTCGTATACCTCACGTGTATACGTGGAGTATTTTTCGTCTCAACACTGTTTTTTGTACTCAAATAAATAAACATGTTTTTACCACCTTCTATTAGCTAGTATATAACAAGCAACAAAAGCTATTTTATTTATTACTGTAGAGTCTCTGTGAATGAATAAATGTAACACATGTTTTCTTTTTACTTCATTATTAAAAGAAACACAGGCGTCTTGTCTTCTGCTATTGAACAAAACTTTGAAGAATGCAATTGTACTGAATTCTTAGAAAATGATGATGGATACACCTTAGTATTAAAGAAAACTGGTCAGCGTCATAGCAAGAAAGCAGCTTTAAACGATGCTTTTAGAAGCGAAATGGGTATTTCATTCACATTATAAGCTTTGCTGCTCTATATGCTGATACCTTCTATACTTCACACAGTTGTACTAAGATATTTAATGAATGATGATGCGGAGTGTAAGACATTTTTATTTGGGTATAAAAAACATCAACTTTCTTATTATATTCTATATGTGTAGCTAATGTAATCCAAAAATCTGGATCTGGGGAAGTTCTTGCTCGTCAGTCTGACTTACCCGTTTTAGATATCTCCCCTATGCCATTCGACAATATGTTTGTATAAAAGATAAAGAAAAAATCTAAAAACAAAGAGTGAAAAAAGTGTTAATTTTTTCTATTTTAAAGTAGGTATGTTTTCGAACAGCAGTATTCCTGAGAATCCTGTACACATATTCAGTACAACATTCACCGTGCTATTTGCATCCCGCTAAGTGGTCAATAAGAGCGCATTTGTCTTGATCGAGTTCATCAACGAGCTCATGAACATTTGCAAGCAGGACTTTTAGCTTCCAACAAGTTTGTCTGGTTTTCAGCGCACGACGGGATTCTGTGAGCTGTCTAAAGGCATAAGAAGATTCGTGGCCTGCGAGGATTGTCAGGCAATTTACGAAGAAACTCAGTATGTTCCTTCTTGCTGTGTTTTTGCAAAAACACGTGCTAGTGAAGCTTGTAATTGTGAGTCGACGAAAAATCAACATCTAGTGCTTTGTTTCCTAGCATAGCTTCCATTACCAGTCGATCCAAAAAGCTCTCAGAATCCTCTTCAGTCGTCCTGGATTTGAAGAAAAGATATGCCGATGGAGTAGAGTTTAAGGTAGCGGGTACAGGGATTGACGTGTATGATGGTGAAGTTTGGAAAGAGCTCAAGGACAGTAATGGTATTCTGTTTGTTGAGCAACTTCGTTCGCTGATATTAACGCTTAACATAGACTGGTTTCAGCCGTTTGGCAATACCACATACTATTGCAGTGCGATATACTTGGCCATTAACAACTTGCCTCGTAGTGAGTGTTTTAAAGCCGAAACCATCATCGTTGTGGGTCGTATGCCTGGTGCCAGAGAGCTCAAAACGGACGAAATCAACAGCTACACTGAGCCATTGGTATATGAGCTGGTACAGTTATATCACAGAATAAGAATGCCAACGTTTGGGTTTCTTGTTGGTGAGGTGATTTGCGCTGCGTTGATGGTAGTTGCCTACGATATTCCAGTTGCCAGAAAGACCAGTGAATTTACCGCACATAATAGCACGTGTGTATTCTTCAAGTATACCCGCCATTTCACTCGACTTGCTGATACAATTCAGGTTGATTTCTGTGGGTTTAATGAATCTCGGTGGTGTCGGGTAGCTTTGAGAAGAATAGGCTACATGCTGAGAAGTGAAAGAGTGTAAGTACGCCCTCAGAAAGGCATCGCCTGGACGTCAAAAATGGTGCTCGATTGTCGTAGTTGCACCACCTTGGATACTTTGATCCAGTACGTGGAACGATCATTGATCCCATATACAACCTGTTCTTGGAGACAGCAAAAAGAATAATGGATCAATGGATCGAACGTGGTATTCTTGGAGACATGAATTTCATCGTCATGTGAAAGGTAGTCGATGATATGATTGTCCCTAATGGACATACAGTGTTGAGGAGCAAATTTGACAAGAAGTTTGCCGATATGAAAGCAGCCGAGTAGAAATCGTGGTGGTTGGTATATTCCCCCGTGGTGTTGAAGTTGATGCTCTCATCCTTGTAATTTAATAACTGGATCAATTCTGTCCACGCTTGCCGTCACCTCGTAAACCCAGTATTACATTCAATGATATTAATACCGCCTGTGGTATACACACCACAATTGAGTGAAGAACAGACCCCACAACCAAATACTGGTTCCTTCTTGCTAATGAACCTGGCAAGTTAACAATCTCCGGAACTGTTACACACCAGGCGCACGTACACTACACACTCATACAGTGTAAACCAACCATTACACAGCAGGGATTTGAATTACAGGGATTTTAATAGTAGCAGATATAAACAATATTATTTTGTCTCTTTAATAAATAATACTCTCACAGTATCTACTTTTCCCATTATTGAGATACTAACCCATAAACAATCCCGAATACCTCACCGCCCATAGACGCCTCAAAGAATTCTGTGAAGAATGCAACACCTTATACACTGCAACAATCCTCATATGTAACATGCGCCTGCACCTCCATCTTCGTGAAGCTATTTTCGATTTTGGGCTAGTGTACGGTTATTGGCTCTTTGGGTTCGAGAGGTACAACGGCCTACCCAAGAATATCAATATCAATGATAAAAAAAGGGTTTGAGGTCACATTTATCAGATACTTCCTTGAAGATATATACAAAAGCGACTTTATTAACACTGCTCTCGTATGCCCCACCCAAGCTCCCTTCCTTTCAGCCCTTTTTAAGCCTGTCTCTTCCCCCACAGATGACATTACCTCGCTATCTCCTTCCTCCGGAATTATTCATCAACCATTTATTTTGTGAGCATTTGCGGATTCTTCTGAAACTACCGGAATTCCTATCATAGGTAATTAACCTCTCCCACCTAAATCCTTCCCACTTTTAATTAGTAAACCTTCTTGAATGGGTGATATTGATTATATCCATTCGTTGGTATACTACAAATTTGTATATCTCACCCCTCAATTTCGTCAATTACCACAATGCCGATGCTTCTCCATTCTTTCTTTGTTGATAATCAAATCATAAAATTGGAATCAATCGACATCCTTGGTCAAGTGTTTTATGGTAATAATGGCACCACTGGTCGTGGATCATATTTACAATCGTTGTTTCTTGAAAGTGATGTTACCGGAACTACATTTATTTGTCAGATACAATATGTCTTTATATATTCCTTCACTCCTTCTCTGACTCCGTTTATTTTAAAACTCACCTCACTCAACACGATTAACATGTGTTTGCATTCGTCAGCTGACTTCCTTTGCTTGTAGATAGATGACGAGAGAAAGATGGAATAGACATTTGTGGTTCAATACCTTTGCCATCAAATTTTTATTCAATTCTGCCCGTACATAGAATCTCTTTATAAGTAACAAGTGCTAATCATACAATAGAGCTTGTCCAAAAAAACTAGTGGTTGCCTTACCAAAAAAAAAAACAGCAATAAATACCCTTCTTTCATTCATTTCTTTTTTTTTAAAGAAAAAGAAAAGTAGATGACTGAAAAAAAAGGACAGAGCAAAATAATTACTGCCTCTATATAAATCGTCAGCATTGATTTGGTGGAGATGATAATAAATAAGATGAGATAAACAATAATTTTATTATTTTTATTGTGGCCCATCTCTAAGGGTCCACGGGGGGAAACATAATGCGACGTCATCGGGAACTGGTTTCTCAGACAGGCGGGTGAGATTTCTGTCTAACAACTGGCAAATGTTGCTACCCAAGTTTGTTCTCACAATTTCATCAATGATGAAGTTGAGGTTGTTAAACTAAAAACATAGTTATGTATATTATGTTAAACATTATTCAAAAATAGAATTTTTTTTTGCCAAATTATTCATTTTATCACTTCTCCAAAAAGAACAGGTAACCTTTACAATGCGTTTGCAAGGTCTCCCAGGAAACTCGTCATCTGACTCGCCTTCAGATGACGCTGATTCCATCATCAGCTCAGAACAGTTTTTCTCCATCAAAACATCAATGGCTGTCTTGTTTGACACACACGCCATTACGCGGCGGTTGAAGTGCTGTAATTTATATATATATATATATATATACATATATATATATATATATATATATATTAATGTTAATTCTATGGTTTGATTCGGACTGATATGTAAAACAACACTTACTTCAGTTTCTCTTGCAGCCCGTCTTCCACGAGCGTTTGTAGCAGCTCGTGCTATAAGATCTTCCCTGTACTTAAGAATTATGCTCCGGAAGTTTGTGTGAACCATAGTACGGAATTCGCCTGTTTTTATGCCCTCCCTAGCAAGCTTTGGGATTGGATAACCGAGGAGATTGGCAACGATCTTCTTGCTGAGACTTCTATTAAAGAAGATACTAGTTTCTCACCTTGGGTTTCCCTCGTTTGCACTGACAAGGACAGGTTCAGTTGAAGTGAATTTGTCCTTCCGCATGTACCCTCGAATTAATTTCTATTTAACAAAAATGTTTAATGATTGAAATATTATATATAGTAATACTTACAAAGACCTTGGCTTTGTTTTCACGGCTGATCTCAGAGGTGATACCAGCAGGAATTCTGTCAGTGGAACCGGCGGCAACAAGAGAACCACCAAGAGGAACAGAGACAGATGTCTGGGATCCAGTGCCTTGTCCGAAACCAACAAGGATGGCTGTATGCGTTGTGGTAAGTTCATCATGTGCATTGGCTTGTACTCCTCCATTTTTGTCGTCTTAGCCAAAACATCTTTGTATTATTCGGATGGATGGGTGGGCAATTGGGCGTATTCCAGTCATGATCTATAATATTAAATAAAGCATGTTTTTCAGTTATTTAATTTTTAATTTTTAATTTACAATGTTTGATATCAAATTAATAATATACTTCGTACCTATAAAAAGGTATGTGAGTAAGTGAATAGGTGAAAGTGTGGGTATGTGCAAGAAGTATTATGATATTGCAAATAAGGATTTTATATAAGTATACTGGATGGAGCTGTAAATATATCCAAAATAACCTCTTGTAACTCTGGGATGACAATCCGTCATTATATTATCCTTTTTTGTTTCAAATATATACACACACACTTCTTTTCTTTTCCTTTTTTGTTTCAAATATACACACACACACACACACTTCTTTTCTTTTCCTTTTTTATCTTGTCCTTTTGTCCTTTTGTCCTTTTATCTTTTTCATTATTCTTTTCTTTGTTTTCACTTTTGTTTCATTTTTTGTTGTATTCTCTCTTTTCTCTCTCTTTCGAAATTTTATTATATTCAGGCGTGTTTCTAATAAGACACATACTTTTTTTTTAGCGAAATAGAATATTTCTTTAAAAGAATAAAAATAACTAATTCATTTCACTGCTATAGACAAGCATACACTCGCTCTGCCTCTCTTACACTTTTATATCCCTCAGTTTTTCTGGCAATACAATCTCTTTAAAATACTATAGAACTAAAAAATAATGACTGTTTCTATTGTCATAGACACTTGCCTTTTATTTATTTATTAATTATATTCTGTTTTAATATTTATCTAACTGAATATAATTTTTATTATAGATAAACATCCCTCACACGAACACACTAAAGATCAACAGCCTCCATTTCATGCTGCTGGCATTGTCATGGTAAAACCTATTTGTCTTTTATTCTCTTTATATGTATGATAGTATTATCTACAGTGTATATTAATATAACAAAAAATTACTAGAGATTATATCAACTCTTGGAAAGTACTATCTAGGTCTACAAATAAATCGTTTTGCTTCGGGTATGTAAATTAAGTTCCTCTGATCCTTTTTATAGTCAAAGAAAAGCATACCAGCCGCCATGTTTAACATAACCGATGTCTTTTTGCTCGACACATTTTTATCCAATATTTTTAATGTAATTTAGCACATATTGATATGCAAATACCACCGCAAGCCTAATAACTACATGATATTAAATTTAGAATAGTATGTTACAGGTTGAGAGCAATAAAAAGGCTTTCATGATTGGATACGATTGAACAGAAAGTAGTGGATAGGTATCTATACTCTAGTGCCAAAGATATCTGTACCTGTAGTAAGAGAAACCTTATCAGATTCATGATCATTTAGGACCTTAAAATATTTTTATAAAGCTATAAGCTTTACACAAACACTTATAGCATATATGTGTAATTGCCATATGTGGAATGCAAATTAGTCATATCTGCGGCACCTTGCTTTGACACCACTCTAGTGATCGGCTCATCACGGACCAAGTGTCTAAGGTACTCTGCCCATAGTATACGGGTCACCTAAAACTAATGCGTATTGTTCGGCTAAATATATTAATATACTCATTTCTGCACATATGTATACTCGAGTGTATTAGGTTATGGGTCGGTCACAAAATTTGTGATTTTTTTATTTCTTATGCGTTATCAAAACACTGTTTTCTCTGTAAAACTACCAAAAGCTCTTAAGCAAATAGAAAATAAGCAAAAAAGGACTCCACCAAGTTCTAGTCTGACAAAATCCAAAAGATAAGGGCTATATGTGTTTATTAGGAGCCTGTTTATAGGCCAGTGGGAAAAGGATACTGGTTATGGAGAAATATCTAAAGCCCTTGACATCCCAAAGAACACTGTTGGAAATGTAGTAAAAGCTTTTAGAGATAAAGTTGCTTCCAAGCCCTCGATATGTCTAGGAAGAGAATCAAAGGTTACAAAGAGAACACATTTTTTATGGTGCACTCATTTGATAGTGAGCCATTCTTTTTTATTGCGGCTCAGCATCAGAGACTAGTCTATGTGGGAATCTCCATTTGCATGACTACATTTCGTAAGAACATGGAACTTTTTGGCTTTAGTTTTCACCCAGTAGCTCGCAAGCCAGGGTTGAGCGAAAAGCAGAAGGGAAACAGGTTGAAATGATGCCTTGACAAAGTGAATTAGACCGTTGATGAGTGGAAATCGGCTGTCTGTTCAGAAGAGTTCATCTTCACGGTAGTTGGCAATGATAGAGGAGTCAGGGTCATTAGAAAGCTGTCCGACAAGCTTGACAAGAGACACACTGTCCAAACATACAAATTTGATAAGAGTTCCGTCATGGTTCGGAGCTGTTTTTGGGATAGGGTTCTTTGCCATTTAGTGAAATTAAAAGAAAACATCGATTAAGAGAAGTACATCAATTGTTTGGCACAGTACTTTTTTTCCTGGTACTAGAAACCGCTCATAAATTATATGAAGCAGTTTTTGTTTCAAGTTGATGGCGCCCCATGCCACACGGGCGCTTATCCCGCATGATATAAGAAAGACATGTGTCTCATAGATAGCTTTGATTTTTAGTCTGCCCAGAGTCTGGATCTAAATCCTATATAGCGTATTTGGTTTCTTCTGGCGAAGTAGCTTTGCAAAAATAGAGCAGAAGTAACGAACGTAGAAGAATTTAAAGAAGTAATCCACAAGACATAGTTGAAGATACCATTTCAAGTTCTGGAAACTTTTATAGCCAGTATACCAGATAAACTTAAAAAAATAATTCCAGATCGTGGGGGCACCGCTCATTATTAGAGCTTCATGTCCATTCTTGTACATACATATATATTGAACTATGCTCTCTATACGTTTTGCTTTATTTAGAGTATTTTTTATTATCAAAATTATTGAAAAGAAAGTATTGTCCATAATATGCTTGAGAAATCATCTTGAAAATTAGAAAAATCAACCAATGACCTATTACACTTGTGTACATAAACTTGATCTACTCCACCTTTATTGACATCCATATCTTTCAATACATACTATATTATTCAAGAACTTTATTTTTCAGATGATTCAACAATAGTAAAAACTATTTATATTTAAAAATAATAAAATACAAGTAATACAAGTAATACAAATAATACAAATAATACAAATAATACAAGTTTCTGTTTTTGCTTTCTGCTTTTCGGTATTTGGCGCTTAGTGTGTGGTACGTGTTGTTTGCTTTTTGTTTGCAGTTTCTGGTTTTCAACATTTGCTTTTGAGTTTTGATTTATAACCTAAGGCTCTACTTATTTGTTAGTGGGGTTAGTTGTTAGTAGGGTTAGTTCCTGTTGCTTGTTAGTATCTGTTGCTTGTTGCTTCCTGTTGCTTCTGCCGGAGCCACTTATTTATATTCCTTATAGGAACCGCCGCTTTGAGGGTCTTCCCTCTATCGGAAGAGGAACCTCGCTACTGCATTTGCTGTAGACATCACGCTTGACTGGATAGCAGTTGTGATGTCTACAGCAAATGCTGCCGCCCTTGTCAACTGGTTTTCCTCCATGTCTGCCGTAGGAGATACCTCTTGGGTGACAAATTCAGTTGGAGGAGACGGAAGACATGGAGGAGGAGACGGAAGAAAAGGAGGAGGAGACGGAAGAAAAGGAGGAGGAGACGGAAGAAAAGGAGGAGAAGACGGAAGAAAAGGAGGAGGAGGAGACGGAAGAGAAGGAGGAGGAGAAAGTGACGAGAAAGGAGGAGGAGGAGACAAGAAAGAACGAGGGGAAAGAGTCGAAAAAGGATGGGGAGAAAGAGATGAGAAGGAAGGTGACGAGAGAGGCAAGAAAGAAGGGGAAGAGAAAGAAGGGGACGAGAAAAAGGAAGGAGTGAGAGAAGAAGGCGAGCGAGACGAGAGAGAAGGGGATGAGAGAGGCGAGGAAGAAGGAAGAGAAAGAGATGTAGGAGGAGGAAACCAGATGTAACGAGAAGGAGACGAGAAATCTGGGGGAGGAGGATATGAGAAAGATGGAGGAGGAGACGAAAGAGAAGTAGGAGGAGGAAACCAGATGTATCGAGGAGGAGGAGACGAGACAACTGGAGGAGGAGGAGGAGACAAGAAAGCTGAAGGAGGAGGAGACGAGAGAGATGGAGGAGGAGGAGACAAGAGAGATGGAAGAAGAGGAGACGGGAGAGAAGGAGTGGGAGGAGACGGGAGAGAAGTAGGAGGAGGAAACCAGATGTATCGAGGAGGAGGAGACGAGACAACTGGAGGAGGAGGAGACGGGAGAGAAGGAGGATCAGTAGGGCCAGAATGGCCAGAAACTGAGGGAGAGATGGTGTTGGCTGAGACAACAGCAGCACCCTCAGAATTCTCCTTAGGCATACTGTTGTACGTCTTCTTTTTTCCAATCTCCTCTCTTTTGTCAATTATTGACAGTATCATTTGTTTACTTCTCCATTGAAATAGTTGCAAATGGAGGCTCGTCGAGAGTTTCCGCCCAACTTTGCTTCTCTTTGGCAGTCTTGCGTCTAGGGCTTCGATTTTTCTTTTTGTTCTTTCTGAACAGGACAAATCGTAGCCAAAATCGTCAGGACAAGGCCGCTTCTTTCCTGTGATCGCAGCTAAAGAAAATAATATAGATATTATTATAGATGCAAAAATTAAATACTACAAATAATAATAGTATTAATAATAAAAATATTCCTACCTTTTACAGAAACATAGTCTGATATTACAATTGGGGTCCGCCCAAAAGCCTTGCCTCCCCGTTTGGTGATGGGGGAAGGAGCAAAACATTTATTAGGACCCCCTCGTCTACGAATAGATGGATGCTCTTTATCTAGCTCAGTTTCATCTTCCACAGATGACAGCTTTCTTTTCGTACCTCTTGTCTCGCAAGATACTAAATAAAAGCAGCAATGATAATTATGTAAAGTTATGATTAGAATTATTAGATCTACAAAAAGTTTTGTAAATTCAGTAATTACGCAAATGATCAGAGGATTCTTTGTCAGCTGCTTTAGAAGGACTACTGCCTTGATCAGCCGCATCCGACGTTTTGGGAGGAGCAGAATGACCAGACGAACAAACAGGCACCTCTGAGACAACCCCGCAATCAGAATCACTAACAAGTGATCCGGAACAAACCTCAGGTCTTGAACAACTAGCAGCCTGTCCAAAAAGAGCATATTGCCCACCAACAATTCTTTCGTAAGAAGAGCAAGACTGGTCAGAACCAGAAGAAAGAGCCTCAAAAAAGCCCACATTGTCAGAAGCATTGCTTGAATCTCTAGGAAATGAAAAAGCACGTTTACAGGCGGTGCCAACTCTGTCATCACCAAAATCAGCGACTCTTTTTGAAGGAACAATGGAAGAAGCGCCTAAAAGAGTACTCAAAGGAGAACCAGAAGAGATACCAGAAGAGGTACCAGAAGAGGTACCAGAAGAGGTACCAGAAAGAGTACCACAAAGTGTACGAGAAGGAGTACCAGAAGAGGCACCAGAAGAGGTACCAGAAGGAGCACCGGAAGGAGTACCTACCACTAAGGGAATGTTTTCTTCACTCTCACAAGGAGTGCGGGAGCCTGAAGAAACAGTATTTGTGGTAGTTTGGAAGGCAAATGCCTCAAAGTCACTCGCCAAAGGCGTGCGAAGATGAGGAAAACGGGAAAGGAGATAAGACCCATATGGGCGAGAGGAGGGTGAAGAAGAGTTGGTTGAGCTGTAGCTGTTGCTGTTGCTGGAGGCAGTAGATTGTGGCATTGTGGAATTACAAGCGATAAGAGGGTATAAAGAGAAAAAAAGGAAGAGCGAGTAAATGGTCTTTATATATACTTTTTTCATTCATTTTTTTTTGCATTGGAATGTCTTGTTGGAAAAAAATATGGCATATAATTACTTGTAAAAATTCAAAATTTTACATAAAAGCTACGAAGTATGTATGTATATCTTTTGGTTTATTTGCTGATATTGTAATAAGACATACATAGTATTAGGGCTGCTACTACTTTTACTATTATTATTATTTCACAATAGATTCAAATATTTACTTTCTCTTATGAACACAACAACAACAACAATATAAGCCAAGATCTAGACTGGCTAAAACGAGTATGTGCAAATTACCGAGTCAAATTAACAGTGCTTCCTAACATATTTTGTTGCATACTTATATGTGTAAAATAAAAAGAGCCGGTGAGTTTTATACCGTTATTTTTTTCTTTTCTATTCATAAAACAATTAAAATAGTTTTACCACAAATAAGACAGTAATACAATATATAATAGTATCTCAGGCAATAGTTGGTGGACAAAGTAGATTTAATTCTTAATAGCATAATGATTTAGATACTCATCAACGAATTTAAATGAGAGAATGTACAAAGCTTAAAGGCTATTCTACTGTATGATATATAGATTATATACTCTATAGATTTGTACAAATATCAGAGCATCAGCAAAGAAAAAAAAGAGAGAGGAAGAATTTGATAAATTAAATAATACTGATCAGTAAAATCATACCATCGGATAAAATGCTTGTAACTTTTAATGACTATCCCTCTATATATATATATATGCGTAAAAATATATTTTCATTTAAAGAAACAACAGCGGATGATTAGTTGACAGTCAATAATATTAATAAAATTATTTAATTAATATAATACTGAAATGTTATGCATGTATTCAAACGTTCAGCTGGTTCAAAGATATCATATCTTTCCGAATGTGCCTTGTATCAATTATGTAAACAAAATGATTAAGCCGTGGCCTTGGCAAACATAGGACTTTTACAACTGATAGCAATCAATTGAAAGGGTATACAAATTGTAACAACAAACCATCACAGTGCTTATCTCTTTCAATTTTTCTTTTTTACTCATAATTTTATTATTTAAATAAAGAAGTATGGTTTATCTCAGCATCTTATTATTATATTTATTATCTTTATTAGCTATTAGAATATTTTTATAAGCTTAGAAAGATAAAAGAAATAAAGTTCATCCCAACACATCACTTGAATTCTCTTTTCATCATTCTTGAAAGAACAATCTTCCGGTTATCAATGCTTGAGCTAAATAGCTGCTAGGGAATATCAATATTCATTCTCTTTTCTTGTCAAGTATTCATCCTACTGAATCTTATAAGTAAATGCTACTGGTCTCATTATAATATCTCAGAATACATCTAAGACGGAAGAATAAATATCGTGGATTACATGTCAAGTTATGTATCCTCAAACCAAAAGGCTAGACAAGCTGATAGTAGCTTTATTGAAAAAGTGAAGCTCAATATACAAATTTAGCTATAGAACTTGTTGTATGTGTATACTCAAACAGTTGGCAGTTTTTAACCAGACCCACCCTAAGCCAATTTGATATTATGTCTTCCTCTTACTTTTTTCGTATTAATATATATTAGCTGAATGTCTATTACTTCAAAGTATTACTCTTTAGTAACCATCATATATTGCTAGGCATATCTCTAAAGCTGTAGAGACTTCTTTACTATTCAGAACAGGTATTAAATGGGTAAATCATTTCTTTAGAATCATATGTATATATAGCTCCTTAATTGGATTAATAATGTCATTCACTAGCGTACGAGGGAATTGTCGAGGGAATTGACAAAACTTCTAAAATAAGGACTCTAGTTACAAAAAGGAATATACTAAACGACCGTATTTTAAAAAGCTCATTCTATATAGCCAAAATGAAACAAATCATTAACAAAAAAATAAAAACTGGCAGGGTATTTTAGTAAATAATTAAAAAACAGACGCTGAATAACAATCGGAATCGTATATGTTGTGGCTCAATTCCCTCGATCCAATTCCCTCGACAATTCCTCGTACGCTGGTGAATGGCATTTGTGGTGCAAACAGCCTATGTGTACCCATAAGAGAAAGAAACATAGCAGGCCAATCCACAGTGACACTACCACCTATACAAAGGTTGAAATACTGTTCAGAGAGGACTGTCTATCAGAAATAACCTTAACAGAGCCGCAACAGAAACAAAAAAATCCTTTTTAACGATGCCTTGAATCTTTTTTTTTACACATCTCATCCCTTTCGGGAATCCTCAGTCAAACCTCCATGCCTACATTGACTTTACAAATCTACTGGAATTGACACCAACTTTACAACACTATCAAAACTGACACCAGCAACCATAACATATTTCTTTTTTTTTGACACGTACCAACATCAACTTTAAAAAGCTATCAAAATTGACACCAACACCAACACAATGCTATCAAGATTGACACCGCCAACCACTATATATTTAATTCTTTTTTTGGGCATACCAACACCAACACAAAGATATCAAAATTTGCACAGAGAACGAAACCATTCATAATATTTTTTTGTAATATGTATTGGAGGTAATGTATTTAAAGGCGAAAAAGCTAGAGAATAGCCAAAGCTGATTTAGCTTCGAATATTGTAATGTCTAATGTAGATGGAACTGCTATATGATTAAGGACAAATTCAATATCAAGAATAAGTTGGAAGTGGCCGCTCGATATGGATATCCAGTGTGTGGCATTGGATACGCTGATTGAGCGTATGTATGATCTATTAGGTTAAATAAATGGCGAATAAGGTGTCTAGTTCAGGGAATATTCCCTGGGTGGCGACGAGGACGATGAAGATAGCCCCGTGAGTAGCCATATACGTATGCATAGCTGACCTTCAACTGTTAATACGCTATTGATTTAGATACTAGCGCTTCAAAAGTGATGATGGTAGCTATAATGATTGAATATTAGAGATTGAGTGGGATCAGTTTCGTGGCTCATATTAGCATGAGGAGGATACTGAGAGGATATATCCAGAGGTCTGCGATATACAATACAGTGGATAATCTAGTGGCTGAATTAAACATACCCGAAACTAACAAATAAGCTAAAGTATGCCGAGTTGCTAATGTTGTTAATTGGGATAGATGATGAGCAGTAATAACGTTATGCTAGTGTTATGCGATTCCTTGCAGCCACAGGATAAGTAGCGAATGTAAGTACGGTAAGGCCAAGCTGTAGTTAAAAGAGGCAGTAATTAAATGTTCAGAGAGTCTTGTTCACTTCTATCCTATGAGGAAACGTGGAGCCCTGATACTTGTCTTGACTGTGAGTACTAGACGAAAGCAAATTACGTTATTTAAATTTTCAAATAGCACTGTATACGTTTAGTCTATAATGGAGGCAAAAACTTGATCCTTTAAATCAATTGGAAATACACTACTGAAATGAAAACATTAATAAAAGAAATAATTTAAAAAATACTTGTATATCTTTAAACAATGATGGGGAGCACAAATTTGTTACCTGATCCTTGATATCAAATACATAAAAAAGATATAGGTGTCGGTGAATTTCTCAAAAGCCTTTTATATCTTTAACCAGCTTAAATTATTTGGCTTCAACTACACATATACTTCTTATATAAAGCAAGTAGTACTGAGTGGTCAAAAATTGTTGTATACCTAGAATCCATACCTAAAACTAAAGTTTTAATGTTTAGCATTAAATATGACTGTAAGGTTCTATAGAAACAGCATAAAGTAGTTATTGAAACAAATACATATGCAGGTATATGATACTCGAGCCCGAAATCTTGATCGTTGGGCTTGTCTGTTTAAAATAATATACAAAAATAATTTGTAGTAATATATCCAAAGAAACTGGTATACCTGTAACCCTTGATAGAGATTGAGTTTTTTAGCGTTGGGTTTTGCTGTCGAAATAGTAAAAAAAGACAAATAAAAAAAAGACAAATATAGCTGTGGCCCACAATAGAGAGTAGAACACTGATACCTGGTATCGGCTGTAAAAAAAATTAGTAAATACAATTTTCAGTGAGAAAATTTTAAAAACTCCTCCTATGTCTTTAATCCTTAATAAAGAATAGAACCATGATAATTGACCTAAACTACGAAGAGAAAAAAAAATAAGCAAATACAAGCATCATTCAAAGAAAAATGGACAACTAAACAATGTATACCTGTAACATATCAATAAGAGTTAAACAATGATCTTTGACACCAAATGTGAAATTATAAGTATTTATAACCATCAGTGAATAGATTCACAAAGAGACTTGTATACCTACGGCCCATGATGTAGAGCAGAGCCACAAATTTTGGACTTGGCGATTAAAAGACTAGACAAATAAAAGCGACAGGTATTAACTGCTTAAAGAGTCATGTATACATATAGCCCAAAATGGGCAGCGGAATATTGATCGTTCGCCCTGGTGGTAAATAGACTAAAAAAAGAAAGCCAACAATAAGTATATGTTCAAAAAGAAATATATATCTGTGATCATGAATAAATACTCAAAACTTGATCGTTGGCTTAAAATATAAAAAAAAAAGCTAGACAAAATAATAGTTGATAGCTAAATACTAAACGAGACATGTGTATCTCATACCCTGGATGTATGGTGAAACCTTAATCGTTGGTTTTGACTATGTCAAGATAACTAAAAACAACAACCAGTAAGTAGATGCTCAATATATATATACTGGAGAACTTGGACGGGCAACAGAAGCTTTATAGTTTGGATTTGACTGTGTAAACACTAGAATAATCTAATTGATAGTAAGAAAATATTTAAAGAGCTTTGTATACCTGAGGATTTTTATGGAGAGTGAAACCTTGATCGCTGGTCTTTGCCGTAAAAAGTATGGGAATATACAGCTTAAAGTAACTAAAGGCTCAAAGAGACTTGTATGTCTATGACTGTAGGAAAATGTCGGAATATTAATCGTTGTTCTTTACTATGAAAACACTAGAAAAATACACCTAATAGTAAGTAAATTCTCGGAAATATATATATACCTATGGTTGGATATGTAGGTCAAAACCGTGACTGTTGACATGAGCTGTGAAGATTCTGGACATATAAAACAGGCTGTAAGTAAATGGTGTAATAAAGATGTATGCCTGTAGCCCTGGATGGAAATCGGACGCCTAATCGTTGGTATGAACTGTGAAATTACTAGAAAAATTAAAACTGATAGTAAGAACATATTCCAATAAAAAAAACCTTGTATGTCTATAAGCCTTGATGGAGACTAGAGCCGTGAGGGCTAGCATAGAATGTAAAAAAGAAAAAGAAAAAAAAAGATTAAATAGATAGAATCAGTAGTAAAGTAATATTTAAATACACTTATATATCTAAGACGTTGAATTAATAGCAGGATCTTTATCGTTGACCAGGACTCTAAAAACGCTTGATAAATGTCATTGGCTGTAAAAAAGTAATCCAAGAATCTTATATACCTTTACCCAATAATGTTGAGTGGAAACTTGATAATGACCAAAGACTTGATCAATGGACTTGAATGTGCAAACGCCAGAGAAATTCAGTCGATATTAAAAAAAAATCAAAGATACATGGATATCTTCAACCCTTCCCGGAAAGCTGAAGCTTGATCGTTGGACTCGGATTTAAAATACTAATCAAATGTAATCGATAATAAATAAATGTTCAAAATAAACGGTGATACCTGTGGCTAATGGTTGAGAGTAGGAAATTTATCCCTTGACCTATATATTAAAAGCAATAGGCAATAGCAACCGGCAGTCCTAAAAGGGCAATTATACTTGAATGTCTGTGAACCTGGGTGGAGACTAAACTCTTGAACCTTGGTGTGGACTATGGTATGACTAGATAAATATGATGGATGACAGAAAGATATTCAAAGGAGGGTGTACGCCTGTTACCTCGACGAATAGCAGAAACTTGATCATCAGCGTTGACTGTAAAATTATTAGACAATTTCAACAAGCAATGATTAACTATTAAAAAAAAAGCATATATACCTTTTACCCTAGATGAGCAGCGGAATCTCAATTAGTAGCCTTGACTATGAAAAGACTAGACAAATATAGCAGACACCAAGCAAATGCTCAAAGAGGTATATATACCAGTAACCCTGCATGAACTATGGAATCTTGGGTGTTGGCCTCAATTGTGAAAAGACTACCGAACTAAAGCTGGTAATAGGTAAATACCCAAAGATACTGGTATACATAACATCCAAGAAGGAGAGTGGCATCTTGATTGTTGGCCTTTTCTGCGAGTAGACTAAAGAAACACAATTGGCAGTAAGTAAATACTAAAAAGTGGCAGTATATCAGTGATTTTTGACGGGGATTTGAACCTTGACTGTTGAATTGAACTGTAAAAAGACTGCTTCAAACAGCTAGCAATATGTTAATGGGTAAAGAAAGCCACTTGTATCCCTGTAAATCTATGCGGAAATCGGGCTCTTGATCTTTGGTCTCGACTGTATAAAGTCTGAATAAAGCAACTAGTAGTAAATAAATGCTTAAAAAGGCATGTATACCTTAACCCTATTTTTTGAAGTGCAACCTTGATTCTCGGCATGGACTGTCAAAGATTAAAAAGATTCAACCAGTGAAGAATAAATGCTAAAATGTGCGTGTGTACCTAGAACCTTGAATGGATAGAAAGAACATGATCATTTCGCCTTGACTATGTAAACGCTAGGAAAATCTAATTTTTAGTAAATTGCTTAAAGATTCTTGTATACCTGCGACCTTTGATGTAGAGCTGAGCATTGAACGCTTGCTACGGAGAAGAAAGGGTTAGAACAAAACAACTGATAGTACCTAAAAAGTCAAAGAGACTTTTATACCTGTGAGCCCAAAAGAATATCAAAGCTTTGATCGTTGGCTTCGGCTGTAAAAACATTATGCAAATATATAGTAAGTAGATTTTTTGGCAGATTTGTATACCTGTCCCCCCCGGATAAACAGCTCATATTAATTGTGGGCCTTTCCTGTAAAAAGACTAGAAAATATAATAGCTAGTAAGTAAAGGTTCACATAGTCATGTATACCTTTAATCCTTAATGGAGATTAAAAACCCGATTGCTGGCTTAAACTATAAAAAAGCTAGACAGAATAATAAGTGATACGTGAGTACTAAATGAGACCTGTATACCTCGGGCACTAGGTAGATAGTAAAACTTTGGTAATTCAGTTTGACTAAATAAAAATTACTCGAAACAACAAGCAGTAAGTAAACGATCAGGTATGTACATATACTTGTTACCCTAGAGGACAGTAAACCTGGATCGATTGGCCTTGGCTATGTAAAATTAAAAAATAATAATTAATTAATTAATAAATAGTAAAATAATACTTAAAAATATTTTTTAAACCTATGGCCTTAGATGGAGAGTAGATGCTTATTATTTAGCATAGACATTAATGAAATTAGAAAAATCAAACAAGCGTTATGCAAAGGCTAAAAGAGAATTGTATACCTGTAACCGTGGATGAAGAAGAAATCCTTGTTCTTCGACCTGGGCGGTGAAAACACT